CCTCTGGCTCTCCGCAGCGCTGCCCGGGCACCTCCTGCGGGGGCTCCTGCCGCTTCTCACCGTCTTCCGCCTCGAGCGAGCCGAGGGAGCCGCGCGGAGAGCAGGTGACACTGGCGGGGATGGCGACAAACCCTTGGAGGGAGGGACGGAGCTCACACACACCCTGGGGGGATGCCCCCGTCCTGGAGAGAGGAACCCGAGCTGGAGGGACGAACTTCTCCAGGCTGGAAATGGCAGCCCCGGGAGGAGGGGTGAACCCCTCTACGCAGGGCGGGGAGACCCTCGGAGCACAGTCCCTGCCGCAGGGTCTTGGACACCCCCCTGCGTCCAAACCCTTGAGCCCCATCCCATACCCAGCCAGGGTTCACGTGGCAGTGTGGGCCTGGCTTTAACTTTGCTCCTTTTGAGGGCCAACAAAACCTGCCATTTTTTAACTCCTGTCCCTTAAGAGGTGGTGATCTTCCCCTCACCACAAAGCACCGTCCTTTTGCAGCAGGGGTCTGTGCCCGTCCAGCACCCTGGCGAGCTCAGGGGCAGGGCACTCAGACTGGGAGAAGGGGTGAAAACAAAACGCCCGGTTGATTGTTCTCTTCCCCCAGGCCTCTCGACACAGCCCATCTGGCGCAAGTTGTGGGATGATGTGATGAAAACCAGGCCGCCCAACTCAGAGGTGAGGAAACGCCGCTGGTGGGAGAAGGGGCACGACACAGGTACCCTGTTTCTGCTGTCTTCTGTGAGGTTTCATTTCTAAGCCTGCCGGTGCTGCTGGCCACCTCCGAGCAATTGCTGGTGCTTGTTCATGAGCTCCAGATTAAGGCATGACCATGGTAGCACAATCATTTTGGGAAATAGGATTCATAAAAGGAACTGTAGTGTACAGCCACACTGTTCATCTCACAACAGCAAGTTTGCCAAAAGAATAAATCCTGTCTTTAGAGATGTAATTCCTAGTGAAATAGAGAAAAAAACCCGTATCTTATAGCATGCTTACACCTACGCTGGCAAAAGAATGTGCTGATGTCTTGGAAAGCACTAGAAAAATACATACAGAAGGCAGTGAGTTTGGAGGAATGGGTTTATGTAGGAAAACTGAAGCAGCTTCATTGATTCAGAATCATTAATAGACAATCACAGCCTATAAATAGATGTTTGGGAAGAAAATTCCTGATGATGTGATTTTTAATAGGCAAAAACATGGCTTAGCTTCAAACCACTGAATATGTTTAAATTAGATAAGAAGGGAGTTGAAGGGAGTGATGAGAGTAATATACACTGAGGAAGGATGTGGAGAACTATTCACAGTTTCACTAGCAGTCGTTTTTGCTTAGCAGGTAGCAATAATTAACTTTAAAAGAATAATTGTGGCTGATATATTGTTAATATGGCCATGTTTTAACTGCAGAATATAACGTGTTGGAGGAAGAAGTTCCTTGAAACGTTCTTCGCAAACGTTCTTCATGGTGTCTTGGATGTTACCTCTGACTGGCGTCTCAACGACCATCACTTTTCGCCGCTGCTCCACAGCTCCCCACACGTTTCCCAGCTTACCCTCTGCAACATGCTGCAGGGCGCAGTGGAGCTCACTGCTGAGCACAACCAGAAAGTTCTTGAAAACCTGGCTGGTTCCCTGCAGATCCTGAAGTTCCAGCACCTCCTCTCCTCCGACCAGTCCATCAGGCGCTCACTGGTTTTACTTCTTCACCGGCTGATTCACCATGGCTCTGTCACCCAAGTGTCCATGTATTCCTGGCCTGTTCCCGACACAGTGCTTCTCGTTCTTATTTTGAGCATGAGTGCTGGGTTTTGGCGCTCGGGAAATGCTCTCGCGTATCACAGCAGCCCCTGTGGCCTTTGCAGAGAGGAGGACAAAGCCCAGGGCCAGGAGTCAGCACGAGAGCGAGCAGAGAGGGGCCGTTACAATGAGAGGGAGTGGAGTGATGGTGAAAACCAGAAGGGATCCCCCAGGGCTCTGGAGGAGGCTGGTGCAGAGGCGAAGGGATACAGGGTTGATGCTCATCTGAACTCTGACCTTTGTGGACCGAGAAGTCCTCCTCTGCGAAACCAAGCATGTGAGGAGGAAGGCAGCAAGGTGCCCTGTGACCACACCAGCATTCAGGGAGGATCTTCTTGTTGCGTTTCAGACCAGCTGTCCTGTCACCCTGTTCCCCCAAAGACACGCAGACGACTGAAATCTGCAGTGGGGAGGAAACGTCGCTGCCTCAAACGAAGCAAGGGACCATATGCTGACCAGGAAGACCTGTATGATTTTGTTTTTACTGTTGCAAGAGAGGATAATTCGGGGTTAGTCAACAAAAACAGCAACACAGAGGGAGAAAACGCTGAGAACTGGACTAGCTCCTCTCCAGGACCTCCATGCACTGGCCATGCTGGCTGCAAAAAAAGAGGAGGATCTGCTAGAATCTTTTCTCTGAAAGCCGCTCACCGCTTCCGAAGTGTGTCCACGCTGGAATTATTCTCCATTCCGTTGACAGGGGAGACATGTCGGACTCTGAGTAACCTGCTGAGCTCCTGGGTGTCTTTAGAAAACTTGGTTCTGTCTTACAATGGTTAGTGGTGTGAACAGGTTACTTCCTGCCAGCTTTGGTCTAATGGTCTGACTTACTGCTCAGGTTTACCCTGATTTTATTTTTACTGGAATGGGCATTGTAAGAGTATTGATACCCAATCTTGAGAATGGCTTCCGTGGAGATGTTTAATGAGCGTGGGGACTTGTTTGAGGGAGAGAATGGGGCACTTTGCCCCAGAACAGCCCCTGGTCTTGTGCTTAAATGCCATCCAGAGAGGACGAAGGGAAGAGCCAGATCTCCATCTCCCGTATACTCAGTCTAGCTTAAGAGTGTGTGTGTTTAGCCTTTGACTTAGGTTGCTTGGCCGCTAGTGCAGGTCCAGCTGCATGTGCATTGGTGTCTGTACGGGCACACCTAACATTTCTGTACAAATGCTGTTCCAGGCCTGGGTGCTAACATCTTCTGCATCCTCTCTGGGCTCCGGGCCCTCTCCCGCCACTCAGACTGCCGCCTCCACGTGGTACGCGTGAGCGACGTCTTCTCCCACGTGCCTTGCATGGAGCTCGTTCGCTGCATCCTGAGCGCCTTCCCCCAGCTCCACACGCTTTCAGTGAGCTTCGACCTCAAAAACCAGCTGGAGGGGAGCAGGCCAGAGGGGAACCCAAGCTGCAGCGAGGTAGAAATCCCAGGTAGGAATCGTCATGCTGAGTGATGACCAGGACGTGGGAGGCAGATAGAGCTGTAAAAGCTTGGCATGCAGATCTGAACTCGACATTACTACAATTACAGCAATTACAGCCTCACCTCTCTGATTTAGATGGCATTGCAATTTGTCATTTCCAGGCTGTGACGTGCTCTGTGGAGCCTGAGTCTTGGACAAAGCATTTTATTGCTGTATGCCAACCCGCTGCAGCATCAGCCTTGTACAGGACCAGTCATAGCCTGCTAGCAGTGACTGTCCATGCAGCCCATGGGGAGCGTATCCCACCAGATCTGTAAACCTGTTGGGAGCTTCTGCTTTGTCCACCCTATTAACTGAGAGGCTCCAAGCCTTAGATAGACCCTTAAGCAGAGGGAAAGCATCTCTTCACCATCACAATACCACAGGTCACAGGAAAGCACTGCCCAAGCCTCTGGATTACAGTCTGGGAGCTATAGCAGTGTATCCTCAGCTCACAGGTCTCTCACCACACGTATTAGCCCTTGAGTGACCAGAAAAGCAGTAAGCAGAGCCTGAGCAGGTATGAAGTTGGGTCACTGAAGAGATGTGCTTTGGAAAGACACTGAGTGGTTTGTGCATATAGGGTGACCTTTTCTCAAGCATTGTTTCACTGCCAGAACACAGTAGAACTTGGTGGCTGTGTGGTCTGGCAGGAGTCCTGAAATGAGCCTTCAGTGATTTACATTACCATAGGGCTGAGTTGCCATAGTGCTCTGTGGGGCAGGCCATGTTACAGAGGCACTTTCTACCAACCTAAATGATCATCCTGTCGGGCACACGGACTGCTTCCTTGCTCTAGGATCCAGCGACATTGAAGACAGGCAGTCCAGACTGAGATCTTGCATTGTTTCTTTTTCTTCCCTCAGAGAGCTGCCTGGAGCAGCTGGAGATCCGATTCCCCAGGGAACCTCTGCACAGTGCATTCCTGCTGCCAGTGCTTAAGGCGTCAAAGTCCCTCCAGCAGTTGTCCCTTGACAGTGCCACGCTGCCCTGTTCTCAGGAGCTTGGGCTCCTTTTGGAGGCGCTCAGAGGTACACAGATAACCTGTACGTAGCATCACTGTGACACAGAGTAGCTTCCCTGCTGTGATCTTGAGGTCTGCCGTCCTTGAGCCTGAAGCCAACTTAGGTGGGTCCATTTCTTCTGTGTGGACATTCCTGGAGGCTCCTGAGAAAAGGAAATGGGTGTCAGTCATCCCACTTTCTGTGCTGAGCATGTGAATGATCCTGCACAGCAGGATGTTTCCTTTTTAATTACCCACAATACAGCACAAATTATCCACAGTCCAACTCAGTTTCTGGGCATTAGCTGGTAGTTGGGTTAGGGTCTTTTTATCCCTGGGACATACAGTACTTCACCTGAGAACTTGTTTTGCTTTTAGAGTATAATCCAAATTTGAAGAAACTGAGCTTTCATGATGTGAACCTGGCTGAGCACCAGAAAGAAGTTCTGCTTTTGCTTCAGGATCCCATCCTGCAAGGTACAGCAGACTCCTGGGTGCTGGTGCCTGGAAGTGCACTGCAGGTGGCTGCTTTTGCCTGATTGATGTTTTAAGAGGTGATCTTCAGATGTGTAAGGTTTAGCCAAATGTCACTGGAGCTGGAGCAGATCTGTAGCTGTTGTCAGAGTGGGAAAGTGCCTGGTTCTTTGTGCCAGCAGGGCAGAGAAGGAAGCAGCTGCAAAGCTAGCATATGCTGCAGAGGAGTCCATAGTCTTGGCTATAAAACACTTTTCACCTGTGGAGCACATCAGCCTTTAACTGGGTCAGCTGGCAAAGCCACTTCCCTGGGTGTGATCTCTGCTCTCTTCCTGCAACAGAGCAGCAGTGCTCTTGTATGCAATTGCGGCTGGGGAGGCTTTGTTCTGGCATATGGATTAGGGGCTGGAGCTGTCTGCAGGATGTAATTATGGAATAATGAAGTGCGCAGGGAGTACTAACACATACTGTCAATCCATTTCTTCCACAGAAATCACTTTTTCCTTCTGCCGGCTGTTTGAAAGCTCTACTACTGAGTTTTTGTCAGAAATAATCAATACAGTGAAAAGAAATTCATCTTTGAAGAGCCTCAAACTGCCTGGGAATCGCCTTGGTGCGTACAGTAAATGTTGCTATGGGGCCTTGACCTTATACCAGCTCTTTTGGAGATAACTTCAGGGTTGGAGTTAGGACCATTACTAGCTGGTGACCTCCATGCTGGACTTAACACAGGCACAAACAGAGTGGATTTAACTCACAACATAAGGAGCACCAAGTTCATTTTTTAAAGGCAGAATTTCAGTTGCATTCAGCAATGTACCAAGAGCCCAGGTGCTGCACGGGCATTACAGTTGCTTTTCTCTGCAGCAAAAGCAAGAATCGGTGGGATTCCAGATATGACTGAACACTGATTTGCTTCAGACTTGTAACAGGAACAGATCCAGCAGCAGATGTACTGTCTCTTATCTAGAAGCAGAGATATTGCCTGGGGGTTTTGTGCCTTCAAAGCCGTTGGCAGTCACTGGAAGGATGGGGATAAGTAAAGGAAAGGGTTGTGTCTAAGTGGAACTGAATTTAAAGAATGATATGCTTTTTGGGTCACAGGCCAAGCAGGGCTGTCTGAAAAATGATTGCAGGTAAATCCAGAATATTGTTTGCTGTTCTTTTAACAAAATGAAATGGGAAAGCTTGAGTTCATCTAAAATAGACCGAATTTCTGAGGTCTGAGTTTAACCCTGTGCTATTGGCCATCTTTTAAACAATGCTGCATATTGACTTCTCAGACAAAACCAGGATTTTTCTAGTGAAACAAACCGCCCTATCAGCAGATGTTTCCACTGGCTTGAACACACTGTGCTCAGTGGGGTGAATTTGCTTTAGGCCACACAGGGGGACCAAACTGAAGGTGCAGAGATAAGCCCGCTATGCTGCACGCACATGCTTACAGCCTCCTTACTACGCTATTATCCCAGCCTATGGCCATTTAAATATTTAAGACAGGTTCCAGTTTGCATCTAACACCTGCATTTCTCCCCTTCTAGGGAATCACAGGCTGGTTGCTCTTGCAGACATTTTCTCTGAAGATTCCTCCTCTTCTCTTTGCCAGCTGGATGTCAGGTATTCTGCTGCTCTAAACACACTGAATTTCTTGTTTCAGGAGGGTCAGAGCTGAACTGGGCTTAGACAGCAGAAGCCTGAGCATAGTTTTGTTCCTTCTTCAAGGGAAGATGTGCCCAGCAAAAGCTTAGAGAAATGCTGCAATGGGCACATACAACCTCAGGGACCTCCCACATCTCTGAGACATCTCACTGTTCCTTTTATAAATGAGTTGAGCTCCATCTTAAAAGCAGCTTGGGTTTGCTGTTCCCTTGGGAGGCTGCTGTGAGCCCTTCCTGGTCTGTAGGTTAGAACTAACATCCCTATGTACATTTATTCTTAGTCATCAGCATGAATAGCTCTGGGAGGTTACTGTCATTGCCCCTGTCAGATCCTGTGAATGCCTCTGCATTCCTTTCATCATCTTTGGTCTCCAACCTGAACTGCTGCTTTCTTCTTGAGCCTGAATGGCCATAAAGATAGGCAGTAACCTTCATGAAGCACACAGAGGGTGGCACTTCTGTAATACTAATGACTTTTTTTGCTTATTTTATTCCCCCCTTCTTTACATCCTAATGACTCAGGTTGCTGAGAGTACACAGGCTTGACACTTTATTTAACCATGGCTCTCTTTCAGCAGCCTTTACTCCTGATTTTTACTGTGCCTCTCAAGATTAAGACCAGCATGCAACTTTATATATATTTACACATTTATGCGGGAGAAATGACCTTTCAATCTCCTGGAAACACCAAAACCTGACACATGCTCTCCAGATTTTCTCAGAAGGAAGAGCTAAATCATCACTTAACTGTGGAGGCTTGCACCTTGACCTGGAGGTTGGCCCAGGTGGTTGACAGCTACTGTGAGACTGAAGTACTCCTGACACTGCTTAGCCAGCAGCTCTGGTCCAGCAACATTTTAAGGCCACAGCTACATATACTTAAGTGGGTAGTAAGGAGACCAGGATAATGAGTTGCCAGTGGTTACCACCTTAAGTTTTAAAAAGCTTCTAGCCCTTCATATTACTGTACTTCAATTTTGGTTTTCGTCAAAACTAACAGAACACTCCCACTTTGTCTTGCTGAAGAAAGTTGTACTTCGCTTTGAAGCATCCTCAAGTACCTGCACTGGCAGTTACTAGAAGGATCAGTAATTTAAACTGCTCAAATTACTGCCTAGACTTTTAATGTTTTTTTTTGTCCTTTCCATGGAAAGCTCAAATTGCATCAAACCTGATGGGCTCCTGGAGTTTACAAAGAAGCTGGAAGGCCACATCCAGCAGAGAGGGGGACGGATTCAATTCACACACCTCCGCCTCTTTCAGAACTGGCTGGACCAGGATGCTGAAACAGCTCAAGAAGCGCTTCGGCGTCTCAAAGCTGTGTGCAGTGTGGTCAATGACTCGTGGGACTCTTCCCAGGCCTTTGCTGACTACATCAGTGTCATGTGATGGACACAGGAGCAGGAGAAAACTGGTCAGCTTGAACTAAGCAGTTCAGTCCTTGGTCAGTAATATTTATTGCAGAGTACAGTTTTTTCCCCTGGTTCAAGCAGAGTACAGTTGTTCTTGTCACTTTTCTGTTCATCTGAAGAAGGGGTATCACAGTAAAGTGACACACAAGACCGTGTGGGTCAACAGCTGTATTCCCAGGTGATCAAACTCTTAAAATAAATATTCAAACTGAGATGATTGTAAGTGGGACATATCAAATGAACTTCTGTGACTTCCTGCAGATCTCTAGACAAGCAGTTTTTATTTCACCAGGTGTTACAAATTACACATTGTTTCAGCTAATGTCTCATCAATAAATATGTCCATCATTAGAGAGAGTCAAAAGCCATCTGGTTGTGGTCCTTGGCAACCAGCTCCAGGTGACCTTGCTTTTGACCAGCAGCACTGGACAGTATGACCTTGAGGTCCCTTTCAACTTCAGCCATTGAAGAACTCCTCCCCTCCACTTAAAAGGGAATAGCAGACAAGCTAAAAGCAGCCCTAGCCTTGACCTTTTACATTTGGAAAATTTTACTTCATAAAAAATAATACAATTCTTTATGTACTAAGTAGCTTGCTGTTTATTTGCAGTCATGTTGCCCCTCTCCAACATCTGCAGTCATTCTGCAGTGGTTTTGAAGAGTTTGGGTTTTTGTAACATTTTTATAATAAAAATATAATTAAGATCCATAATGTGAAGTGTGAATTTTATTACTGCCTTGTAATGTGACCTAATTAAAACACTGCTAGGTCCAGAGAGCCTGCCCATAACAAAGCAAGTTGTTTAGAAATGGAGTTACCTTAATAGAGCCTGATTTCCTGCTGCCTGCACAATCTTTCAGGCCAGATGTTTTAACATACAAGCTGAAATTTTTTCCCTTGTACAAATACTCTTGTTCCTGAGTAATCAGGGAGGTTCACATTTCACAACAGAAATGGACCTTGCAAGTTTCTGATCAGCAGCTGTAAGCCACAGCTGTCAAGGAAAAAAATCCCATGACTCTGCACATCAAGTGTTATAAAACTGCAGGCTTAACTTAAACCTGAAGACAAAACTTGGCTGAGTAGAAGGCACAGACTCCCAACAGCATGAAAACCAGTGCTGTATCTGATCAAGAGCACAAGATCCAGTTATTCCCAGTTCCCAAAGGGCTGTTTCTCAGGCACACAATACAAGAGCAGAGAAAAAGCTATGGATGCCTTGCTGTTGCAGTAGACTGACCAATGCTTCCAGCCTCTCAGAAACCAATCAGTCCAGCATGTACTGCTAAACACAGCCCCTTTCCTTGAAAGGGATTAAAGCAGGGTGGGCTGCCATAGCAGCCTGCCCTTGCCCCCACAAGGGACAGTAACCTGTTAGGGAATCCCTCGCTGCTCCTCATGGGAGTGATGATGAAAGGTGAAGGTGATGGCGGCATCCCACGCAGCCTTCAGCACGGCGTCCTGCAGCCCCCGCTTGTCAGCACAGTGGTTCCACTGGGAGAGATCAGAGGTACAGTCGGACCCTTCGGGAGGTGCCCGTACCTGGTGGCCGTTCACACAGCGACGACACTTGATCCTGGAATAGAGCCAGTGCAAGGTCAACGCAAGGTTCTGCCACTTCTTTCACGTACAGGTTGTTTAAAAAATAGAGCCCAGTCACATTTGGATTAACTCCCCTTAACCTGCAGCACTGGCAGCTGGATTTTCAGACAGGATTAATTACTACATTTCATTTAAATGCACAACAGTTAAGGAATGACCCCCAGTTTGGAAACCCTGGGGTTCTGTTTTTAATGGCACTCCCCCTCCCATGTTCATCCATGTGGGAATAGTCCAGCAGGACCCAGAGGAAGACCAGGAGGAGTTTCCCCTGAACAGCAAGGGACATTGCTTAGAGCAGATCTTGAGTGAACACCCCCACTGCTAACACCTTAGCAGTGGGTCAGGCTTCCTGAGTCCGAGCGCACACACTGTGCTCCAAACCGCCCCATCCTGGCTCCCGCCACGGCCACTGGGTCGTGCTCAGGCCATCTGGGAGATGTCCCATTGAGCTGCCACATGAGACAAAGAGCAGCAGCAGTCCTGCCAGCAAAGCTTGTTGCCATGCAGACAAGATACAGAGAGCTAAGCTTTGAGTCACCTTAAAACTAATCCTCTTCACTTCTTGCCTGAACTAAGAGTCTTAACTTTCACAGTGAAGCATTTTCCTGCACTCCCTGTCCTCTTTCTTGTGGCTACAATACCACAGGTCTCAGGGGTGGGGGAGAAGGGCAGACAGTGGAGAAGAGGATTCTTCTAGTCCCCTGAAGAGCACTTGTGTTGGCCTCATGAATTCTTAGCAGATAGAGTAGCCCTGGCAGTGGAAACAGCTCAACACTTGGAGATCACAAACCACCAGGAGGAGAGTGGCAAGGAAGGACTGATTTGAGCAGCTCTGACCAGTTTCTCTCTTTTTATTAGCTGCAGTATTTCACATCCTCCTAACACAGGCAGAAACAAGAGAGGTTGCTCACTTGCCCAGCCAGCACAGCTTTTCTAACACAACAAAAGGGACAACAACAAGGAAGTGCTCATATCCAGGTGGTTAACAGGTTCAGAAGCCGATATACTTGAGGCTCTTTCTGAAATTTCTCCTGCTGCCTGAGGAACCCCTGAACCAGCAGAGCAAACTGTGGAGGGGTCTTTTTTTTGCTGACCCCATCCATTAGTCATTCAGTACACTCACTTGTCATGGGTGTCACTGGTGGTGGTCTCATTCAATGTGAAGAGCTCCTTCAGCTCCCCGAGTGAGAAGTGCCTTTCTACATCTTGCTCTTCATCCACCACGCAGCTGCTGAGGGCCTTCTTGTGGGTCTGGCGTTGGAATATCTTCTCCTCTATGGTCCCCGTCTACAGGAGAGAGCGCCAGAGACGAAGCACAGTCAGGACACTGGTGTTAGGAGCACTACTTTGAAAAAGTGTCCCAAATCAAACGGCAGTAAGCTGACAGGACCATTTAGTGCCTTGCCAGACCAGCAGAGATGACAGACAAGTTTTACTAGCTGTACTCCAACCACAACCTATTTGGTTGCCGATCTAACACAATTCTGCTTTTCTTGTCTTTCACTGTGGCTACAGGAGTGGATCCAACTGAGATATGGATGAGGAAAAGGTGGAGCTACCACTTGTGGCTAAAACTCATACACCACACGAGGTTGTGCTGACAGGAAGGAAGGCAAAAGAGCTCAGCAGCTACAGCCACTCCCTGACAAAAAAATAAACAAAAACCACAAACAAACAAACCACAAACACACACAACCTCTCCCAAAAAACAGCAACAGAAGCTAGCCCTGGGTGACACAAGCATCAACAGTATTTGCTGGTTCACCTACAGAGATCAATCACACCTGCTGTCTGGAGGGAGATTATCTACTTCTAGAACAGATGTGCAGAAAGCCCAGTATACTACATTTTAAAGGCAAAAACCTCAGAGTAAAACGTCTGTTCTGCAGACATATTACAAATGTAATACAAAGGAGGGGGATGACTGGTCATGATTTGCAGACCTGTTTGCTAGTTCTAAAAGCAAAAGAACTGCCTGCTTCCAGGTCAGAGAAAAAGTAGAACACCATAAGGAAGAGATGGGCAAAGAACATCTGTTTTGTCAAATAATAATTGATCAAGGAACACAAGCTTACAGAAAAAAAAACAAAACAAAGAACAAAAAACCCTAGTCTGAACTAGTGAGAGGTGAAGGTGAACAAGGGCAGAGAGAGGACGAAGTGTTACAATAGCCTGAAAGGACTAGTCTTGTTAGTGTTTTTCCTTTACAGAGCAGCTACCACACACCTGCTAACTGGCAGCTCCATTCCAAAAGCTGCTGCAATTCCAGGAACATACTTGCTGTTTATTAAGTACACAAACACCCAAACAAAACAGACTGCAGCCTGACTGAAAAGCAGCAATTTTGGCATCAGACACCCCAAGAAATTAAAGTAGTCAGATGCCTAGATGACTTCAAAGGAGCATCTTATCTGGAAAGCCACAGTTGTTCCTATTTCTCAGAAGCCAGCCACCATTAGAAACCATGGCCTGCAGTAATCACCCCTCCAGCTTGAACCTTCATGGTTTTCCATGGCAACACGTCTAAGGGTAGGAAGCAATTAAGTGCCAATCAATTCTGGGCACGAGCAAAAAATTTCCTCCTCTTCTGGTCCTAATCCCAGCAGCTGCAGCTCAGCTGGCACCAAGAACTCCGTGTTGAGGAGGTGAGAGGAGTAAGACTCACTGAAAGCAGTCGATAAATGTAGCATGTCTTCTTCTGGCCATCCCGCCACACACGAGCCATGGCCTGCTCATCATTAGCTGGATTCCAGTCCGGGTCAAACATAACCAGTCTGTTAGCCCCGATCAAATTCAAACCACAGCCACCCGCTTTGCTGCTTAACATGAAGATAAACTCGGGGCTCTGTGGAAAAAAGGCAGGCTTGGATTAAACTACAGATGCAGCCATACTTTTACTTACAGAATTCAGAACTAGCAGGAGAGCTGCTCACATCTGGCAGGTGCTACTTACTGAGGGGCTGTTGAATCGCTCCACAATCTTTGCTCTCTTTTTAATGGACATGGTGCCATCCAGCCTGACATATAAATACCTAAAATATACAGCATTTACCACAATGAGACTGCTGAGACCTTCAGAGCATCCTACTTGAAAGAAAAAAAAGTCTTTCACAAACAGCCTTGTAACAAGGGCCTGGACTTTAAGAGCTTTTGCAGAGGGCCAGAGCTTTTCTACTGAGTGACCCCAGCAGCCAAAGCACAAGCCACATTAATTACAGATCACAAGTTCCTGATGATAGAAACTTTAAAAATAGCCAGTTTCTTTTACAGTGTAGGCTGCAAGTACAGTCTTGCAGGATTAAACAAACAAAGCCCAAAGACAAACCTTCTATTCCTGCAGAGCTTTTCAAATAGGTCCAGTGTCTGAGTGTAGTTAGACACTAAAACCACCTTGTCGTTACTAGTGCTTTTTGTAACAGCAAGGATGTAGTCCAAAACCAGCATTTTGCCTGGACAAAAAGGAAAGAAAGAAGAAATCTAGAGCAGAAATTCCCAAATGCCAGACCTTGGGGATGGGGGGGGGGAGCATTGATAAGATGCTAAAAATAGTCTCATGGTTGCCTGTGTTAGGCAGCACATTCATACTATTGAGTTCCACAGTACCTGAAAGTTGGGGCTCCACAGATTTGGTGCTATAGCCAGCAGGGAACAAGTCCAGGGCTCCCATAAAACCTTCTTCCTCTTCCACACACTTATCATGGATAAGAGTAGGATCTGGAGAACAAATAATGCTCAGAGACTGTGGAATGCACAAGGTAGAATGAAAAAAACCCAATCAACAGTGCAATAACCAAACCCACTGCATGAGTGGAACAACTTACGATTGCAGAGCTTCTTCAGGGAAGTGATGGAAGAGAGAGATGACACACTGATTTTACCCTCCTTCAGCTCCTCCACTGGCTTGGCTTGCTTCAGGAAGTTCTTGTACAGCTCAGCCTGCAGAGGTGTCAGTCTGAAACAGAACAGGTGTTCTACAGTCTCAGCCTGCACCCAAACCAACCCTATCCTTCCTCCTCCATCTACACAGTGGGTTCTTTTTTGCCTGGTTTTTTTTTCAGCTACAACACAGACAGCCTAGAACTGCCTCCAAGTCTGATGGTAGAGCATTGATATCTCAGCCCAGAGCTGGAAGAGAAGCTCTGCAAAGGCCAGGGCTCTGCTGTACACAGCTGGCTGGCAGAACCAGTTGTGGGTTGTACATCCCTGCTTCAGGAGGAAAAGCAACATATTGCCAATGACTACAGTCTCACTCCTAGAGGGAAGCTGTCACCACAAGCATTGAAGAGCTTTTTGCAACTTTTTAGTCCTTCCTCTTGCTCCTCCCATTTCCCAGGAAGACTACATGCTTTCTGGTACCTGCAGCAGACCACCTGCTCAATCTTCACCGGCAGGTATTTGGATAGGATGTCTGAAGTTCTTCGGATTAAACACCTGCAGGGAGTGAAATTAAGATCAGATGCTTGGATGACAAGAAATCCCTGTTGTATCACTATTATTCCTCACAATTCTTTCACTAGAAACCTAGTTCTGCCAGAAAACTTTGTAAATATGATGTTATGAAACCTATAGAAGACAGCAGGGATATACAATAGCACCAAAATCCGTCAAAGGGTGTTAAAGAAAGGAATAATCTGGTCTCCAAACCCATAAGCAGTAGGATGAAAAGTAACAGGCTTAAACTGTGGTAAGGAAGATTTGTGTTACGCATTAAGAGCATTTTCTAACTGCGAAGACAGTGATGCCCTGGAAAAGGTGTCCTCGGAAATTTGTAAGGTCCTCAGTGCTGGGTGGGGGTGGACAGTTTAGGTCTAACACCTTCTACCTTGTGACAGCAACATGGATTAGATGCCTTCTCCAGGGCCACTCCAGCCTTACATCTATGATTTCACTTATCATTGCATTACTGTCTCATTTGTAATTCCTACCAAGTTCAGCCAATTAATCTGTTAGTATTTACGTGCTTATCCTCCCTATTTGTGCATCATGACTGTTGCACAATAAAGGCAAGGACAGACACCTCAACATAGTCAGGCACAAGCATTCCTGAACACACTTTTGCACCCCTTTTTCATCAACTATTAAAAAAATATGCACCTCAAGAAGGATTAAGCTCTTCTCCTCCCAACCTTTTCTTTCTCTTAAGCTTCTGCAAGCTGATCTGAGTCAAGGTCAGGGCTGTCTCTGTAGGGAGGCTGTACTCCGTGTGAAATTCAATTTACCAGGACTATGAACTGCAGGATTGTATTTGTGATGGTTGCAAAAGCTCAGATTAAAAAAAAAAACTAAAAGAAATGAAGACACCAGCAATGTTGAGAATTCAAGAGTCTCTATTAAGAGTTCTTAGAGAGAGACAAGTGATTGCCAGCAGATGTGGATAAATTGGTTGTATTCATGAGTAGAAAAGAAGCCAGGTTTAAACAAGTACCAAAAATCAACCAAAGAGAAACAAGATGGCATTTTACATCACAGAGGTGCTTCTTGGGGGTCAAAAGTCACATCTCTGACACTAGTAGTCTAATCCCATTAGCACTGCAGGGCCAACACAGCTATGACAGTGAACCAGTCTTTTATGAATTGGGCAATCAACAGCAAAACTGAGCAACATTCCTTATGCTCTTTCTGTCTGCCACTCAACATCTGGGCTGGATGGATCTCAAGTATGACCCAGTCTGCTCTGTAGTTATGGTAACACAAATAAAAGGATGCTGCCCAACTATTCAAATCCCAGGAGAAAAGAGAAACATGAGTGTCAAATTATGATTCAGTATCAAGTACATTTGCTTGGGGGTGACTGCAGCTAACTGTGCCATGTCAGTGTGCTATTTTCCAAACTAAAGCTACATGCTATGTAGATTTCTTAGGCAATAAATACTTGCACAATCACTTGCTGAATAGACATAACTGGCAAGAGAATTCATTACAGCTACAACTGTAATTTGTAAAGATACCACTGTTGAAGAAGGGCTTATGCAAAAGCAGTGCAAAGAGGGATGAAGCTCACCTGTTCACAATGCTGATCAGCTCTTTAAGCCTCTCTTCTCCTTTGTGCCGCTCAGCTTCACTTGCATCTGCATCTCTGCCTTTCAAGATAGGAATTTCAAAGTGTCTTTTGAATTCCTGTGCAGTCCCTGTAAAAAACAGAAGTGGTGACAAGTACTACCAAATAACCTTTGATCAGTACCCCACAGCCCCACTTATCATACCACAAGCATAAGGTCCAGCAGATATAACAAATTCTGGCCCCATCGGTATGATTTGTTTTCCTTTCTAGCCAGGAAAGATTCAAACAGAAAATAATTTTGTACTCCAACAACAATGCACTGCCAAAGGTCATACAATTTTAGCTAAACCTGAGTCCAGTCAGGCATGTACTGGTTTTGCTTACATTCCAGCTATACTTTTACTCCCGGATTTGGTCCTTGCAAACAACAACACAGGCATTACCTGTGCCTGTTTCAATATTATCTGCAATCAGTTGCCTATTACTGGTCACAGTCTGAAAGAGGGAAAAATGACTAGTGCATTGCATGCATGCAGCTTTGCTGGCAGTAGTTGCAGTATTAACCTCATCTCAGAGAGAAGGAACTGAAAGTATGAAGAGACTAGTCTCGCCCAAAGTACAGGTCAAGAGTGGGCAGGGGAAATCACATTAGCTCCTGGTAATAACTACCCAAAATGTCCCATCTATTTCTTGACAAATCCTGCGGACAGAACAGCTGAACAGGAAAAGATAAAGACCAAGTTCTGCATGTAAGACTAAGAATCTGATGAATAGTGTTTAACTAGAGTTGTACATGCACTAGAATTAATGAGAAGCCTCTTGGACCAAACAATCTGAGACAAACATGTGCAACGAGTTACAGCAACAAGGAAATGATTCAGATTGGTTTATTTTCATTCCTTGACAGAAAGTGACCCCTCTTGACAAAGCCAAGCTGCTCCTAACCTAGTGATGCAGGAGAGGATGCAAAGACTGCTTTGCTTTTAAAATTAAAACAGAGCTTGCAGACATAAGCAGAGCATAGGAGACAGAGACCAAATGTTTCAGTTTGCTACCAGCAATTTTGTGTTTGATCCTGATCTCACACTAATCAGCATCTCTCCTCCAGACTCTTGTCTTTCTATCTCAGATGAAGTTAACCTCATATTCAGGATACATTTGCCTTAAAAACAAGAGCAGTCTTAACTCCAAATGCTAGACATCACCCTCAGCTTTCTCTCAGATTACCTGAAAATAGGACGGCAGACTGCCAGAAACTTAGGCTTTGTTGCCTAACTCTGCCACAAGGTACATTATTCTGCCTTGCACCAGTCACTTCAGCTTCCTGTGCCAGATGGATACAAAAGAGAGAAGAGGGAAAAGCTGTCTCCCAGCCTGCCTCTGTACTCAACACAGAGAGTGTGTCATGTCAAACTCTCATTTTCGTGGAGCCTCTCCTACAAAGATATCATTCCTGACTTAGATTTCTGAATTTGCTATAGCTTGGGAGTGTTGTGGGAAATACCACTACAAGCTGGCTCTTCCTGCCCAGCAACTCCTGCAGTTATCTCCAAGGGCTTATTGACAGAGAAGCTCCTCGCCTAGGTGGACATTTTGGCTGACCAGTACAGCTACACAAGATCGGCCAGGTAGTACTCAGGGTCATATATTCATTTCACCTTAGTAATTAATTCCCCTTCCAAAACACCTGTTAGACTGGCATACTTTAAAATACAATCTTCCTGAAACAGAGCTCTGATGATATACAGCTTCTAGAACACGGGACCCTTATCTAGACTTTCTGGATACAAAACTGAAGGAGAATAAGTTTCCAACCTGACCTTTCTTCTCACTATTGCCTTGGTTGCTGCTTTCACTGGCACTGGTTGCTAGGGGAGGCCTTGCCAGCAACTTCCCCCTCCCTCATGTCTCTCACACATTCATGTCTTACCCAGGATGCCTGAATTGACGAAGTGCACCAGGCTGAAATATTCAAGCAGGTCATTTTGAATGGGGGTGCCCGAGATAAGGACTCGTCGAGGTGTATTTAAGCTGTTGAGAGCCTGGTATGTTTGGTTTTCAGAGTTCTTCAGTCTATGGCCCTTTGAAAAAAGAAAAAAAAGGAATGAAGCTAATAAATCCCATGGCCCTGATGGGAAGCAGCTTGGAGATCCTCATCAACACTGACACGCTGTATCACCCACAAGGCATCTCACCACTTTTCCCATTCCTCATAGTGGACTAAGTGTTGTATGTGTATTCAACTGCTGTGACACACTTCTTTCAAAGGCAAGAATCTGGTGGGAAACCTGAAGCCATTACATGAAGAAACATGACATTACAAGCTTCCCAAAGCAGGAACATCTGAGTCACACCCAGGGAAGAGGGCCTATCATGAAAATATCACCACGTGGTCTAACTATAGGAACTGTTTCCTGTTCAAGGATGGGGATGTGTTCAGCTACCAACCCTAGGCACTGAACTCTGGACCAGTAACATTGCATCACCCAAGGTCAAGATCACAAGCCATTCAGATCACCTACGTGCAGGGCTACCAGGCCTTTGCACACTAATAAAAACAGATTCTGTGCCTCTTACAGGTGTAATCTGAATACAGGCCCCATTTTCCATGCCTAGGAAAACCAATTTTATTAGCATCCAAGTGCTATGCTGTAGGACAAAGTGTAAGTGATGACATGGTTTTTACAAGTGCCAGACCACTGCAGAGCCGAGTATTTACTGAGAGCATAGGGAAGACACACGGCCATGGAGCTGCATTCCCAGCATCCCCAGCTGCTGACCCCATCCCAGGGGCGTTGAGAGGGTGTGGAAGCTACACTTGTGAGTATGCGCGCTCTTTTTAAGCTCCCATCCGCAATGTTCCAGCAAATACAAAACCCAACCACCGGGTGGCACCACCACATAAAAAATCCCATCTAACTGCCAGCAGAGGACACCTCAACAGCGGCAGAGGCCCCCAGCTTGATCCTTTCTAGGAGGCAGAGGGCAATTGTTTTATTTTGTCCTTCAGAGCATCTCTGGCTCTCAGTACCTATAACCACAAACAGAGAATGATAAATGCAAAAACAATTCCATTTCACCCATGTGAAAGAAGAGCTAGACAACACGGGCTCGGCAAAGCTAGATCCAGCAGTCAGCAAGCAGGGAGTCAAGGCAGGTCTGCCGCCTCTTGAACAAGTAGCACATGAGGTAACTCCTCACCCAGCTCTCCCACCTCTGCCCCAAGCAGGAGACTAGAAACAGGGGAAGAGGGTCCCTGCCATGGGAGTGCCCTTTAAACTCCCCCACAAGCACAGCAACTACACACAAGAGCATGCCAGATCACAGAATCATTTATGTTGGGAGAGACCTCAGGAATCTCCAAGTTCAGCCTCTTGCTCAAAACAGAGCCAAGTCAAAAATTACTGAGCAGAACACAAGGCCAGACCAAACATAAAGTAGTTCTCACTTTAGCAAAGACACACACAAACAAATGAAAACCAGAGCAGTGAGCCAGGGCACTACCATCCCACCAGAGTAAGGCCTCTTTCAGAATCAAAACTGGCAGTGGACCTCTTTTCTTGATACGTATTTCACAGAGAGGGGCCCTACTAGGTGACCATCACCCTGCAAAGTGGCCACAATTACCACCACCTGGATTTTCTTCCTATCTCAGCTCCTGAAAACACCCTCTTTTGTTCAGGCTCACCCAGGACTGAAGAGCTGCTTACCCACAGCCTCTCAAATACCAGAATGGGTGCTGTCCACAGCTAAACCTTGCTTCCTGCTTCCCTCCCCCATTTTAAGAAAGCAGTGCTGGTTTTGCCCAGATGTCAAGAAAATATCAGGAACAGATTGTCTTTAAAGATTCCCCTGTACCTCATCACAGATGACCAGCCCAACACTGCCCTTCTGCAATGCCTCGGCATGGAGTCGGAAGGTCTCATAGGAGATGATCAGGATGGGTGAAGGCACTCGCAGGCCACGCTGGTTCATAAAGCCAACTGCAGATGGGAAGGGAGAAAAGGAAAAAAGAGGGATGAGGAAAACTAACAGAAAAGGGTTCAAACTCTGCAGGCAAAACTTTTGCCTTAAAAATCTAGGAAAACCTGTCTGTTTCAATTACACACTCCTTTCCCCCCAACTGTCCCCATTTCCATCCCCCTCCCACCTCTGCCCACTCCTTTCCTGGGTTCTGGCTGGAGAAGACACACCGTGACTGCCTTAACTTAAGCACATGACTGAACTTGGGTTATTCCAAAAGATCAACTATTACCAAACATGGAAGGGCCTCATCTAAACATGTTAGTGGAGAGACTTTCATCAGTCTCCAGAGCTCTAATGATAGTTCAGAAGTGTTTACATCAGCTACTGTAGGCTTCTTCCAATGCGAGACTTTGACCTAAGCAGCCAACCACACCGTTTGCAAACATTCCTGTACCTAGTTTACGGTCAATCTCTTCTTTGGAGCCTCCATCAATGGCCAGCGGCTGGATCCTTCCCCCCAGCCATTTCTCTACTTCATTGTACCAGTTTCTCACCAGGCTGGAGGGAGACACCACCATGGCTTTCTCGATTTCAGGCTTGCAGTCCGGACTTTGCCGGAGAAGCGTCCACATGAGTGTGATGCACTGCAGGGTTTTGCCCAGCCCCATTTCGTCTGCCATGATACAGCCATGACTCCCAGGGATCCGCCGGCTCGTCACACAGTCCCAGAGGAATTTCACTCCCTGCCAAAAAATTGTTCTCTCAGACCTGGATGAGGACATCAGCAGAATGACAACTTCATTACAGCTTCATTACTGCAATGCACAGGACTCTTACGAAAACAAACAGCCAATCTGTGTAGCACATCCCTGGGGACATGCAGTGTTCTAATGAGACAGAGGGAAATCACCCGAGACACAGCTAAAATGCAGCCACATCTGGTCTGGAACATTATTGGTGACAACACGTACCTCGTAACATGCATGAAATCTTACTCCATTTTAACTGTACAATTACAAGCAGCTTCCTGACTTGAATGCCCAGAAATTTCTACCTTTGGCTCCATTAGATAGGCCTGGGCCACCAGCTAACCTGCATTAATTACTGCAAAGAGGTTAATAATCTTAACAATCACCAATTAGGTAGTTGTAAAAACACAGAATCAGAGAGTGAGCAGAATTGTTTCTGCTGCCTGATTAACCCCCAGAATACCCTCAGCAGCCCTCATTGCTTCTGCCTAGAAGCACAATGACTCAACCTGGGGACTCAAGGTCCAAAGCAGATTTAGCCTCAAAGACAGAGGGCTGAGGTTATAACCTACGTCACAAGGTGGGAGAAGAGCTCAGCCCTGCATTAGTCTCTGACATGTCACCAAGACAGATAAAAGGGAAGGGCTTAAAAAAAAAAAAAGGAGACAGACAAATGCAAAATGTTCTTCTATCATATGATGACAGAGAGTCAGAGAAAACCAGGGCATTGTGCTGGGAACATACAAGCTCCCTGCATTGTCTCAACAGAGCAAGGAATGAGGGGCACAACCTAAACACCCTGGACAGATTCACCTCTCTGTGTTCCACTATTTAGGACTGGAAGATGGAGCACCTTCACTTGTACTTTCAAGTTCTTCTTTTTCTTAGGCCCTTATTAGTCTTAGACTTACAAGTCAGACTAGAACCAAGACTGCTTTACCAGAGAGAGCCAGCTGTCAAAATACAGAGAGTGTGCCCAAGACTCCAACATAACTATAGTTACTTGACAGAAGCCCCAGCCGACAGCATCTTACCCAAAAACAAAGTGCCTCCAGCTACGTAGCCAGAGACGAGCATTACACCAGGTCACAGGTTGAGCACCAACTCCGAAACACAAGTACAAGCTAAGAGCAGCCTACAGCACTCTCAGAGCCATCTGAAGATCTCCCATGCAGGGACACATCCAGCTTGACCTGCTTAGCCTGCAAGATCAGCAATCACAGCTTCCATCTGTGCTGCCTTTAGGCTTATATGATAATACACTGCACCTGTGCTGGACTTCAAACTGTCCAGATACCTACATTAGATATTTGGAAATTAGTACCCACTGCTTCAATACTGTGATGTTGCACATATTTACTACATAAAATAATAATATTTATAACAAAATCGTAAATAAAAGTCTTTTGGCACTCTTCACTGGTAAATTCCAAGTATACATAGGTCACGGACAGCTCACAGCTACAAAGGGTATATTTCAAATAAAACACAATGAAACAGAAATCTACTCCACACTGTGTTGGGAATCAAGGTACCACAAAAAAGAACTTCAGCATTTCCTGGCTCAGAGACTGCAGAGCTAACTAATTTGCTGGCCAGCAAAACACAGTCTGCCCTGCCCAACTGTCACGGTTTAAACCCAGCCAGCAACTAAGCACCACACAGTCACTCACTCCTCCCTGGAGGGATGGGGAAGAGAATCAAAACCAAGTAAAACTTGTGGGTTAAGAACAGATTAATAATTGAAATAAAATTATAATAGTAACAATAATTGTAATAAAAAGGAAGATAACAGAGTGAAATAAAACCTAAGAAAGACAAGTGATACCCAATGCAACTGCTCACCACCCACTGACCGATGCTCAGGCAGACCCCAAGCAGCAATCCTCCCCTCTCAGCCAAGTCTCCCCAGTTTATATACTGGGCATGACATCATACAGTATGGAATATTCCTTTGGCCAGTTTGGGTCAATTATCCTGGCTGTGTGCCCTCCCAACTTCTTATGCCCCTCCAGCCTTCTTGCTGGCAGGGCATGAGAAGCTAGAAAACCTTCATTTAGTATAAACACTACTGAGCAACAACTAAAAATACCTGTGTGTTATCAACATTATTCTCATACTAAATCCAAAACACAATGCTGTACCAGCTACTAGGAAGCAAATTAACTCTATCCCAGCCAAAACCAGGACACCAACTCATGATTGGGCTGCAATATAATTTATTGCAGCTATATCTGTCACCTTCCACACTGAGCTCCACTCAGCAGAGCTACATCTCCAAATTTCAAGGTAAGGAAAGGCTGGACTTTGAGCCCTGACTCTGCAAGATCCCATCTCCCTGCAGAATCTGATCTTTTCCTAAAGTAACACTGGTGACATAAAAGTCAGCCAATGTGCCTTCCCAGACATATGCAAACAGTGCATAATGGTCACAGAAAATTCCCAGTTTCCACTGTCAGCTGAACTGACCTACAGCCCCCCAGAGAACACATCTGTGCATTCAGCAGCATCATGTTTAGGCTGGGAGTGCTCTGATCCTGCTGGATCAGAGGCAAGAGAAGAGGAAGTTCTTACTCACATGAAAGCAGTGAATGTCCACATTTTTAAGGACAGACAGGACTGTTGCAATTCTCCCAGCACATCCTCTTGCTTAACACAGGACAAAGAATATTTGAAGCATTCAGGCCTCTAAGAGGATGGTTAAACCAAATGTTTCACTTTGCATCTGTAACAGACTAGTGTCTGTTAGACTGTCACAGACTGTTAGTCTGTGTAGACCTCACAGTTGGTGGGTAAAAATTCCAGCAGAGGAATTGCAGCTTTTTGAAATGCACCAAGACCCTCAGGTCCCTGTGGAAAACTTACTTCTCTCTGATGGGGCCGTAAAACACGGCTGAGGACAGGATCCACCACAACATGGACAGGTGCTTTGTCCCTGCAGGAGGCAGACAAGGAAGACGACAGTGTGATTAATGAACTCGGCACAGCATATGTTTAGCTTTTTTTTAAATCTCACTGCTATACTGAGGACGCGCCAGTGGGACAAGGGAAGCAACTACCAACAAGAGTGAAAAATGGATTAATTGTTTTGAGAATGAAGTCACAGGGGCCTGATCTACAATATAGAAACATCAGTGAAATTATGTATTTGGGCCGTGGTTAAAACAAGGGCAGAATGTAGTTCACAGACACAGTTTCTTTGTTTCAATAACAGTATTGTAACTGTATTATTGGAGAGAGGAACCCCCTCCTCTCTCCATGAAGATGCAGCTCCCAGCCCTTTTAAGTTATAATAAAACACAAAATAAATACTTCAGAATAAAAACCATTAGGCAGCCTAACATCTGACTGTCAGTCATCTCCCTTTGCTTGTCCTTAGATGCTGATGTTTCCTGACTAACAACTAAGCCATAAGATTTTCTAAGCAGCTTTATCATGGGTGTATGCTCATCCCCTGCAACGGGTTTAAATTTTTTATGAGTGGGTGATGAAACAGCCTGTGGAAGAACACAAACAATCCAACATGGGTACATTCCTTCTTTGATTGTTACCATACCTGAACAAATTCAGAAACAGAATGCTTGAAACCAAACTTCTCTTGACGTTCAGAGCCCAGCTCAGACACATTTGGGAAGAAAGCACATAAACCTACATGTACAAGGGGGTCAGAGCTGAAGCATTTGTGCCAGGTGATGACTCACTTGTCTATTTTCAGCTGGTCGTGGGCACTCAGCAGTGGGGGCTCGTACAGAACCAGTGCTCCTTCCTCAAAAGGGTCATGAAGGGGACTCCTCAGCCCTCCCCGTTTGATACCCAGTGCGCGCAAACCCAGCGGCCCTGAAAGCAAACAAAAGCACAACTCGAAGAACAACTTCTTCCTGGAAGAAAGCAGAGCCTTGCAGAAGAGTCTGACTATGTTTAGGAACAGTGAATTAATTGGGTGCTGGAGTGGAGACACAGGCACAAATGGTGCAAACAACAAACCTATGCAAGGCGGTTGTTTGGCAGCCCTCTGCCAGCACACAGCATATAGCTCTGTGGCAGGAAGGAATAAAATGAAGGAGCAGAGGCAAAGATGGAGCAGGGGCACTGCCCACCACAATGCTGCACCAGATGCTGTACATGCTGGCACACACAGTATATCCCGGATCACAATCTTTTTGAATCATGTAACCCAGACCTAGCCAGAGCTGTATCTTTTATGCATAGTCAGGAAGTGATCTTTAACAGTGATGGTTTTACAGTACCAGAGTTAGCACCATACTGCCACTCCTTACTCTAGGGCATTATTTTCTCTGCTGAGCAATAGTAGCTGTTTAACCTTGGAGGTAATTTCTGTGAAAAGCAGAAACCAAGGATGAGTCCCTTTTCCTAGTATTATGTTTTGATGTCACAGCTTTGGAATGGAGATGAACATAAAAAAACATGCACAGAAATCCCTTTTCCCATCAAAACTCAGACAACTGTGCTCCCAGGATTGATTTTGCTTGGCAAAGATTCAAGCAGGGTCAATTTGCCTGCTGCTTGCTAAAGCGCCTTGCAAAACGAGAGTGCATCACAAGCTGAAACAACAGTGCACACACACCAAGAAAACAGCACATGAAACAGCCTCATCTCCTGATTAAAATAGGAAGATAATAGCCACAGAAAATCCTGACAAATCTGCTCTTCCACAAGCTAACTTTATCAAACTCTTTTGGGGCTTGTCATTTATGTCATAGTCAATGTCTGCTACAGACTTATTTTTGTAACTAAAGTGTGAGTAAAACTGGTTGATCTGCATTTAAATTTTTCAGCTGAAGGGTGAAGGGGAAGAAGAGGACAAAAACAGGTCCATTTGTTTCTGAGATCTTGTTTCACTGATTCAAACCAGCTGAGGCTTTGAACTTCAATACTGTCTTGGCTTTGAAGATCACCTTGAGGCTCAACACACCAAGCCAAGTAGAAAGAAAACTGGCACATACTATCTTTTTCCCCTACAGCCTTCTGTCTGTTAGTATCATTAGGGTATTATTTAGATGGTAAACCTTCATTGCTTGGAATTCATCTTGCCTTTGTATTTGCAATTTGATTGTACAATCTTCTGGCACTACATCAAATACGTAGCAGTAAGAATACCAAATCCAATTCTGAAATGTAGAATTATCCAAATGAAACACTAGGAAGAAATATGAAGACTTTGCTAGTGTGCCAGCATTTTTCTTTCAAAATTAAGTCAGGACTTCTGGAACATATGCATCAGTGCAAAAAATAACACTAATCCCCACAGATATAATTTGACAGACCTGAGCATCATCTGTTTTACCCAAGTTGGTCAGCACAGACAATCCTTAAACCTTCTCATCTTACCTTTATAATTTGGAATGGGGACTTTGAATGGTTTGGACAAAATGCTGCGGATAAAAGCCTCCTAGGAATTCAGAAAGAAAACACGCTTAAGAAGTCTGAAATCAGAGACTGCTCAAGAAGGCAAGCCCAGGACATTTTTTTGAGAACTCAATTTTGCCAAGTGCTGAGAGTCCCTCTATTCAATTTACTCAAGCTTCAACTCCAACTATTTTCAATATCCAAAAGGAAGAAAGCAACAAACCAGCACAATTCCCCCCACCAACTCTGCTTTTCAAAACTATTTTCCTTTGGGTTTTCTAATGCGTGAAATTGATTTTTCATAACTCCCATCTTCTCAAATCCACTGGCATTATTCACATCTTTAAATGCTATTGCTTCCCCTGCCTTGGTAATTCAGTCAGGCAATTCATTTCCTGTAAAGGAGCTGGGTTACCACTGTAGGAACATTCATGCTGGATCAGCAAGCACCAGCCAGCCGAGCACCTGGTCTCCAGCAGTGGAAGCCCAGAGTGAACCAAGCAAGCATACAGCACTTGAGCCATCTGTGTGAAGAGCTACCCACATCCCTGGGCACTGTCCTTCAGCTAGACCCCACAGAACTCTCTTATTCGGGATTTCCATTATAGAAAGTATCGCCATCGCACCTCCTTCTACATTAAACAGTTGGAGCTACCAAAAGATGTCTCCGAAAAAGTCTGTGTATGCTTGGCACTTCCATAACACCTCTGATTAAATGGGTCCGTGGAAGCATTTGGTCTCTCTTGATGAATGAGACCCATATGCAACCCACCTGCTACGGTGCACCAGCAGTAACACCCACTTACATGTTGACTGCTATCCAGGCAGTGAGGCCTGTTGGTCAGCTGAGCCAAGGGCTTCCGGAAAGGCGACCTGTAACATTCTCCACTCCCTGTCTCACTGACGGGCTTCTGCCTCTTACGAGTCTGAAAAACAGAATAAAGACAAAACAACTCAGGGGCAGCTGGTGAAACCAGATGATAGATGCACCGCTGTCACACTCAGTAAGCACCTAACCACACAGACAGTCCACCCAGCCAGCTGAGTATCTCTGAACAGACATAATCATTACTCACCCCCACTGCCAAAGGACAGAGCCAGCAACACAACCAAGGTCACCATGCCCTAAAGTTTAACCCGCGAGTCCTAAAATATTCTCCTAATTACAAAAATAGCTACCATCTTCCAATCTGTAAAAAAAAAAAGCGGAGCTGTACTAAGATTTGTGCCCCCTAACCCCCAAAAAAGCAGAAGGAAAAAAAGGAAGGGTCAATAGCATGGAACAAACTACATTAAAGTCCCCAGAGGCTCCCACAACATCTGTTGTTACACAGGTGAAAGGCCTCACACTGCAACCTAAATTTCAAACACTTAGCAAAGCATGAAGATGAATAAGTCATTGATCTGTTCCCTGATTTGACACAATCCTCTTCAGATTGAGACATGATTTTAACCACCTGTTGGCATAGAAAAAGAGAGCTGACACAGAAAGAACTAGGTGACTCTCTGACCTGTATGACACAGAACATCCTAACGTTGTTTTGTCTTAAACACCTACCTGTGCTTAGGTACCAGCCCTCTCACAAACACTCAGAAGCTCTCCCAGGGATAATTTTCTACATAACCACGAAGCATCATCTACACACAACAAAGTTCTACTACCAACTACATGCCCAGACACAAGTTTTCTCCAAACAGCATGAACCTGGGGCCTGATCCTCAGGCCCCTGAAGACGGGGGCGATAACAACCTCCACCCAGGCGCCAGGGCCCTTGACGGGCAGCGGCGGGTCCACCGCCCCCCCGCACCACACCGCCCGCCCGCGGCTGCAGAGGCTCC